GTTTTGTCTGTAAGATGAAGAGTTGAGGGAAAATCACTTTAAAAATGGAAATTTTAAATCATAATTTATTCAAAACTCTAAGTTGTACTATTTATTTAATTGGAATGTTCATCTACTTTGTTTCTATGGTTTTATAATGGATGGCTGGGAGGTTTGAGCTTCTAATTATGGATGTTATTATTTTTAATGGATGCTGTTAGTCTACCTGGATTCGAATAGGATAAAAATGTTAAAAATATTTTTTTCGGTTCTTGGATGTTTTTGGATTAAGTTGAGAGTGGATGAAATGTTTTTAAATTTCCTTCCTAGAAGAAACTTAAGAATTTCTGTAAAACTAATTTTTATTCACTGTCCTTTTAAAATTTACTTAAAAAAGCATAGCAATTCTGAATGTTAAAGCTATTTATCTAAATATTCGGTCCATAAACAAACCTTTTTAAACTCTGTAAATATAAAAGTAAATTCATTAGGGTAAAATGAAAATAATAATAATTAAAAGATATAACTTTTCATTAATATCGCATTTTATTATAAATTTATTCTAGTATAATCATTTGTATTATGTTACAATTTTACTTTCTTGTTGAATTTTTACCTCATTTTCATTATTCCAATGAAAAAAATTCTTTTTTCATATTCCATAATTTTTAATATTACCTTTAATGTTATCATAATTATAATTATATTTTATATTCTTATTCTGCTTGTAATATTAAATTAATAATTTTCATATTTTCTAATTTTAATATGTATAAGGGTTTTCAATCCAAACTTGGAAATTCTGTGGCGTTGGCTTTTTTTCTTATAAAACTGCTGGTTTGCCACAAAATTTTCAAGTTTGGTTTTGTGAAATATTTACAAGATTTTATTTTCTTCACGAATTTCATTTTTCATTCGTTTTTATAATTTTTTGACCTTTTCAATATTTTTTTCTCGTGATTTTTTGGATGGTCTTTAATACCCCAGAAATCCAGTTAAGTTTATTGGGCGATTCTTTTATAATTTGAAGAAAAAAACTTAAAAAGTTTAAATTTTAACATAAAATAAAGCAATAAAAATCTTTCTTGAAAAAATATTGATTTATAAATTTTTAAAAGACTTGCTGCATGGGACGTATTTTTGATGAATTTTGTTAAAATTTTGAGATTTTAAAATAATTTTTTTCAAAATCAATTTATTGAAAAAGTTTAAAAATTATTGCAAAATCGCAAAATTTCAATTTAAATGAACAAAATTTTTCGCTTCAATTTTCATAAATAAATTTTCCACATTTTTTTATCTAAACTAAATTGAAGAGAAAAACATCAGACAATTTTTATCCATCCCCGAGGTTAAAACCAAGGCATTCATCAAGATAATAAATTAAATGATACAAAATTCATTCTCTTTTAGAAGTAAGGTTGGTAATTCCTCAAAAATCATCAGCAATTTTTTCTTTTCATATCCTTTTCTATTTTTAGCGAACAAAAAAATGACGACCGCAAAAAAATGAGCGAACAAAAATTATTGACTTTATTCATAAAATAAACCGTGTGCGGTAGATTTTTTTTTTTGATAAACGTCAATTTTTCATTCGCTTAAAATTCGCTCAAATATTTTATTTTATTATTTTTTATATCACAAATGCGTTTTTTTATTATTTTTATAATTTTTTATTCGTTATTTTTTTGACTTTTTCTTTCTTATTTTGATGCAAAAATTAGAAAATTAAATTTTGACGGAAAGGGCTTGTGCCCCGATGAGTCCTTTCATAATATCATAACCGAAAATAATCAAGCAAAATAAATTCTAAAACTACAAGTCTAACTTATGCCTGCTGTTTTTATTATTTTTATTTCCACTTTTATTTTTATTTTTATTGTTGTGTTAAGAGTGAGAGAACGTGCTGTGTGTGAGGAAATAAAATTAGCATTTTTATGAGCTTTTCTCTTACTCGTCGAAACCAATTACAATGCAATTAAATTCATTAAATTCATGTACTGTCTCGAGACGTTTTTCCTTCGTCTTCTTTTTAACATCCAATTTCTAAACATTAAACATGGCACCGAGAAACGTAGATGAATAAATTTATCAATGTTAAAATAGCTTCGATATTATTTTATCGTTAATTTATTGTTTTCTTGTATTGAATAACATCTGTAAATTAATTGTTCTCGGGGTTCGCTTGGGTGAGCTTTTAAGAGGAAATGAAAATATTTTTTTCATTTACTTCTTTCTTTCTTGTGAACAATACAGACAGAGTAGAAAGAGATATTTTGTATAGTCTTATGTGTATTTATTTTATACTGAATATGATAGGGGTTGGCCTTTTTTTCTGAGAGATGAATGAGGTGCTCTTGTGATAGATTTTGTCAGGAACTTAATAAAATTTTAAGCAATTTATTAATTTTCAAAAAAAGTTTCAAAAACAAATAAAATTATGAAATTATGTAAAATTAAAAAAGTTAAAAACTTTGAAAAATTGAAAACATTTTAAAAATTGAAGAAAAAAATGAAAAATTGAAAACTATTAAAAAATTGAAAAAATATGAAAATTTTATACAAATAAAAATAGTTAAATTACTTCAAAATTTGAAGAAAAAAAATCAAAATTAAACATTCCTGATAAAATTTACACATCAGCTCACTTAAAAGAAAAGCGGAAACAAAAGTTTCAATTTTTTTCCATTTTATTCTCTTCTTCGGGATGAGAAAAATGTTCTTTCTGTTGCTTTTTAAAGCAGATGGTTACCGCACTGTTTTTAATTTATTCAAAATGATGGCAAAAAGTTTAATTTCGTGATAACTTTTGTGGCAAAAAAAGTCATAAAATGAGTTGAAAGAAAACTTACAGAATTATTTTTGAAAAATAATTTATAATATTTTATAAAGAAATTAAAGAGTTTTTAAATTTTAAAAAAAAATTTCAAATCGTAGTTTCAAAAAAAAATGAAAAATGAAATTAAGCCTCAAAAACTAGCTTCAAATAAGTCATCAGCTTTAATTTTTATCAGCATCCACTAAATAACTTCTGCTTTGTCTCATAAGCACAATAAGCTCAAAGTTAGTTGAAAACTTTTGTTTCCCGTCCCAAAAACTTTTCTTTTCATATTTTTTCATCTCCCGTTCTTTATGCTTTTTCAGTTAAGAAAAATGAAACGATGATGATAATTCAATTTTCATTTTTAATTAATTATAAAATGTACAACATCTCTTGAGGATTAAATGAATAGAAAACTACGTTTTTTTATCATCCGTTTTTTGTGTTATTTAATTACTTTTCTTGTTTTCTTCATCCCTAATTTTCATAGTCTTAGAAAATACTTAACATTCATTTAAATATATTTTATATTCATATTTATTATTTCTTTATATATATTTATAGTTTCTGCATTTCGTGTGTCACATTATTCATTATTTAATATTTACAATATTTTCAATTTTTTTTCTTTTAATTATTGATTCTAAATTTTTCAGTTTCTTTCACATGGCAATTTTCCTGAGTCGCAGTAAGGTTCAAATTGACGATACAGTGACCAATTATTGCTCTGACACTAATTTGTCGTTACCATTAAAGAGTAATAATTCGTCATTTTGAATCTCAATGTAGCTCGGGCTTGCTTTTCAAGAAGGATAATTTAGGTTATGTTGATAGGTCAACATTGAAAACGGGAGCCATAGGCAACAAAAGGGGTTTTGGGAACCGTTTGTATCCATCAATACAAGATTCCCCATTTTTGTGACGGATTGCTCAGCTACTAAGGTGTGATTCTCACCAGTAGACCCCCACCGACCTCCCTAAATATCCTTCAATCAAAATCATACTTCGTTATTCTAACATTTGATTATTTTATTTCGACAATTTGAGGCCGCCGTAATTATTTTTTCATGCCAGAAAAATAACATTTTGGGACACAAATTTAAATTTATAAATTTAATTTAAAAATGCCGTCGTTTTTAAATAGAAAACCCCCCCGAAGAGAAACAATTAAAATTCATGTCCCAAAAATGTTTTTTTTTTCTCTTTATCGCGCTTTTGTGAGGCAAATTTACTTTTATTTTTTGATCCTCTTACAGAAATAAATTCATCGGTAAGAGGTGGACACGAATACTTAATTTTCTTTTACATTCACAAATTCATTCATCAAAACAAAATTTTTTTTTCTTTACTTTCATTGGTTCTGCTTCAAAATCAAATTCTGAAGTGGCAAACATGCTGCTTTAAAATAATTTTCTTTTTTTTTTTTAAATTGAAAAACATCAAAGTATAGCGATAATACCACAAATATAGTGGAATATGTGTGTACATGCAATGCGTACAATTACATATTGAAAAATACTTTATGCTCTTTTGACTTTACACAAAGTCAATATGAATTTTTTGAAATAGTAGCTTTTGATTTTGCAGTTTGTGGGTAGCTTTTGACTACTGTTGCAGATTTTGTGGTTATAAATGTTATTGAGAGACTCTTTTTTTGCGGTCCTTTTGCTTTGAAGTTTTGTGATTTGAAATGTTTTAGAAGCGGTTTTGATGTGCTTAAAGTTTAATTTCAATATCTTCAATATTAAATCCTACAACAATTCCAAAAACTACACCCAAAATTTCCAAAATATTTTTCATCTCCTTTATCCATCAAAAAACATAAATATCGCGCAATCAACAAAAAATTAATATCATCCTTAATTATCTCTTCATCTTGTGAGACACAATTTTACAAAATTAACACAGACTCTGTGCCTCACATTTGATTCATCAAAAAAAATTATCTATTTATATGTATTTAAAATATGTTGTTTTTTATGTTGATTTTTCAATAAATTTCTATATATTTTTTTTCGTGTTTATCGCCAGTCTCAAGAAGCTCGAATCGCCATTGTTTCTATGTAAATATGTTTGTGTGTGTGTGTCTCTTATGTATGTATGTGTGTGTTTCTTTTCATTATGAAATTTCTAATTTTCTACAATTTTTTTAAAGCTCAAAACTATTTTTTTTAAATTAATTTTCTACATTTTTCGCTGCTCATCGCTGACTCGCCTTCTTCTTAACGAATCGTATGTTGTAGGCATCTTCAGCTAATTCTGGATAAATGCTAACATCATGAATGTACTCACAATCATATAAATTCGAATATCCCTGTTTGAGAATCTCTTCAACCTCACTCGGTACCCACTCAACGGATGTCGTAAGGCCAGTTCTGATAAGTTCCTTCTCGCGTGTCCAAGCTTTTCTGGCTGCTTGAAGCTTTGCATGATGCAAAAGTCGTTGTCTCTCTTTCTCTGCTGTCGTACCATAACGTAAATTGATAATTGCATGTACACCATGAATTTTTACATCCAAATAATTATTTCCACTTGAATTCTCTTTATTGACATCATGGAATGTTGTATTTACTTGTCCTTGTAGTCGCTTCAATTGTTGTCTATCCTCACTCGATCGCCATGAGTCTTCCTTTACAAAGTAGAATGCATCTTGTTGTCCATTATGGACAATAAAGGAGAATGGAAGTAATTTGGTACGATTAAATACGGATGTATAGACATCACGATAAATGGCATTAGCTGCTGGCACACTCGAAACAATTGCTTGTCCTTCTAATGTTCTTGTTATTACGATTCCTTTACCAAATGGAGGTTCTGATGATACGCCAATTTTAAATGGTGGTAGTGTCGTCTCCTCATACTTTAGAGCTGATTTTTTAGGCGATCCAAGTGTACTCGATAATTGTCGTTCAATTAAATGCGAGAGGAAGCCTGAAGCTACAATTAGTGGATTACGATGTTTTCTTTTATTATCAAAGAATGTAGTACTGCCCCAAGGCATTTGTGTTTCCCATAATTTGCGATTAAATTGTGGTGCCATGTTCTTTACATTATACCCGATGAGCTTAAACCATGTCTCGAAATCTTTTGGTTGTGTACGATCCTTGCCGTAATTAATTGGATCATTTCCATTAAAACGATATTGATGAAGTCGCGTTGGTGTTTCAATGCGTTCAAATGTATTTTCCCATTGCGGTGTCATCCAAAGACCAACTAGTGGATCATAGACTTTACCGTTTGGCATGTGAACGAGGGATGTAACCTGGTTGACATAGAAAAATTTATAATTATTTTATCTTGTTTAAAAATGCAAAAAGTTTCTCAACTTACCGGATCCAAAATTCCTCCACAGAAATCAATTGGTAAATACAAGTAAGGATTTGAATCGTAGACAATATGACCGAATGGTGATCTCATCATCTCCCTAATACCCTCACCATACTGATTGAAGACCATCACAGGAGTGCCACTATGATCAGTAGCTACATAATACTTATTTCTAGGTGTTTGTACAAATATCAAATGACCTCGGTCATCGTAGAATAATGAGAGGAGTTTTCCATCCCTTGGCGAGTAAATTTGTGACAATTCATTTGGACGGTCTTGATTATTGTAGAAGAATTGTGTGACATTTCCGAAATTGTCTTTTCTTACTGACATTCTATTCAAATGATCATAAAAGTAACGGACATCAAATCTTCCTTTCTTTGTAGCGCGAACGAGTAGTCCTTGTGTACTGTAATGGAACTTCTCTTCACGTGCATTCTGAATTGTATAACCACGAACATCATATTTGTATTGACCTTCAGCAAACTTAATAATTCTGTCCATAGAATTATATTCCATAGGAATATTATTTCCTCGATATGTCAATGCCAACATATTTCCATTATCATCATATCGGAAGCCCCATGGCTCTTGTGCATCAACACCAATCAACTGACCATCACAATCATAAGTATAGTTCTTAATATTTGAGAAATTCGTAATTGCTACATTTCTAGTGAATGTTTTCGTTTGTACAATTCGTCCATGAATATCATGCATGAATTCCATTTTGAACACCTGCATGCGATGAATGTAAACAGTTCTTTCCGTTTCAAGATAACGTCCATCGACAGTCCTTGTGAATGTTGCTGTTCCATCATAAATGTTTGTCATGTTAGCCTTTGGATGTGTAATTTTGAATTGGGAAAATTGCTCCAAATTGCCTGTCTTTATGCTATATGTGTATGTGATGCCAGGCAGATTTTGTCCACCAATGCGTCCTTGTGCTGAGACAAGACGGAAATTTGAGTCATATTCATACGTAAATTTGGCATTACTTAATCCAGTCTTTGCATTGAAATCGATTCTTTCCTCTGTCATTAATGCTCCATTATACTCGAAATCCCATCGATACTCAAGATCGCGTTCAGTATGTGCAATTGTGTTTGGCATTCCACTTTCCTTATTGTACGTAAATTCACTCTTTCCTTCGCCATGAACAATTTCTGCTAATAGTCCTTGTGCATTGTATCTATAGACAATTCTGGCACCATCGCCTGGATAAATTGTCTGAAGTAATGCACCAGAATATGAGAAATGTTGAAGGTATGGCTTAGTACTGCCAGGTGGCATGTATGTGAACCGAATAAATCCAATCGACCTTTGTAAGTCAAACACGTGTTTTGTTCCAGTCGGTAATTGAATTGACCTTAGACCACCATCAGCGTCATAACTTAGTGTGAATTTCCGTTGCGTACAAAGAACAATTGCGGAAATGAGGTTGAAGTCATTATAGACATAACTGACAGTTCCGTCTTGCTGTGATGTAACTTCATACAACAATCCATGCTTCTCATATGAATATTTAAGTTCTGATGGCCCCCAAGACCAGCCTTCAACTCTTGAGAATCTATCGTAAGTGATATTAAGTGGAAATCCATTATAAGGCTTGAATGTCAACGGCAGTCCATTATTATCATAAGTAACTGTAAGTATATCCTGACGATCTTTATCATAGAATGTTTCCTTATTTGAAAATTGTTCGTATCGTTTGCCTAATGTTCTTGTGCTATTCACCCATGTTTCCTTGCTTAATATTTGATGTGGATTACGTGGGTCACCGCCAATGAGACTATATGTCGTGTATACACTGTTAAGCAATGAATCACCCATTTGAACAGTCTGATGTGACCACATTGGAAGCATTTCAGCCTCAACATTCAGTGAGGATTTTTCAAGCATTGGATGTCGAGTAATTGCTGCTGATTCGATGACAATTCGATTAGCATGTTGTACCTGAAGTGTATTGTTATTTGTGTTAATGACTGCCTTCATTGTCTCTCCGCCCTGCTCCATTGCAAACATTTTAATTCCACCATTCAATTTCAAACTCGTCACATTTGCTGACAATTGAGAGAATCTTGATGGAATTAATGACTGCACATCGATTTGAAGTCCATAATCGGGATTTAATTTTGATGAGAATTTCAACATTTCACCAGTTGGTAGAATTGCATTCATAATACGTCCATTATCGTTATACTGATAAATGAATGTCTCACCGTCGCCAGATCGGCTCAGCATTAATCCATTCTCATCATAATCGAATACAATCTCGAATTTTCCTTTCTCGGTAATTTTCGTGAGGAAACCGTTTGGTGAAAATTTCAATTCCGATTTATGATCTTGTGTATTCTCGATGGAACTAACGAGATTACTATAATCACGAAGAAATTGAATTTTATTTCCTGTACTGTCGGTGACTGTCGATAGCTTTCCAAAGCTTGTATTTTTCGAATATAAAAATGAATAGCGAGTTTTTCCCGTTGACATATCCTTCGTCGTCACATGTTGGCCATAACGATTGAAAATGTAAATTTCTGTACTTGGTGGATATGGAATCTGATATTCACTGTTTTTGTCATGTGATGGCAAATAATGTTGAAGTGATAAAATTTGAAGACTTCCTTGATCGGCAACATTGAGGACATTATCTTGCGTTACAGCAAGTGCTGAGATGGCTGAGAATCGGGTATTTGTTGACGATACGGTTTCATCAATATTTATTTTTGTTGGTGTACATACACATCCTGTCATTGCCGCAACCATAACGACTGGTGCTTGGGTTGATGTTGTGTAACGACCATTATTAAATAACGTTGGGACTGTTGAGTTTTGACCTGAACAATCGCAGCCCTGGGAGCTGTAATCGATTGAAAAGAAAATTAATAAAAAAATTTGATATTTTTACAGATTTTATAGTCAATTAAAGCTTAAAAGTTCATTGGCTTTTCCTACACAAAAGCTTCATATCTTCAAGCTAATTTACTTAAACAAAACATGACATAAACAAAAAGAATCTCAACTCACCCTCCATCCTGTCGTCCAGCAAATACTTTCATATTACCAGCACTGTCAACGACCCGAATCAAATTTACACGTCTCGAGTCGCTATCGGCAACAAATAAATCACCTGATGGTGCAAATGCCATAGCCAAAACTGTACCTAATACAGCATCTTCGTTCATTGTCTCATTCTTTGAATTTTTCGTACAATGTAATGGTGCTCCAGCAACAACTTTTATCTTCATGTCAGCTGTCAATTTCATGACTAGACGATCATCGATAAAGTGTAGACTTCCATCTAATGGATTAAGTGCTAAACCAGTTGGCCATTGTAATTGAACTTGACTAGCCAAAAGTGCTCCTTTGCATGGAATCGGACTCCAATGATTGTGATGACCATGATGCCCAACTAAAGTGTGAATGACTCCTTGATTATCAACAGCACGAATATTCGTTCCATCAGCAATGTACATTGTACGGTCTGCAGATATTGTGATGCCTTTTGGATGTGAAAGTTTTGCAACTTTTGCTTGTCCACCATCACCGCAGTTTAGTTCATCACCAGGTATACATCTCTGTCCACTACCCACAACAGCTTCAAGATTATTTGTTGGATCTGTGACATTGACAAGTGTGAGAACCTTTAATACTTGATGCTTTTCTGGATCGGATATATAAAGGTGTCCATCAGCCGGCGATACACTCAAATAATATTGGTATGAGACTTTTGTTGTGGTAAGCTGTACAATCGTGTTGACATTTCCTTCCGGTGAGATTTTCCTAATTAAATTGAAATCTCCAACATATAAACTTCCGTCGGGTCCCGATGCTAATGCAACTGGTGTCAATAATTTGCTAGCTTTAGCTACTCCATTACACTTGTCTTTACAGTTGAGTGACCTTTGTTGTCCTGTTCCCATGACTGCACGTACAACTCGTGGATATTCTTTTAAATGTAACGTTGATCCATCGCCTTTTTGCAGAATTCCCTCATGGAAATTGTATTGATGATGAATATTCAATCCCCATCCACCAATATCCGATATATCAACATCAAAGCCCTGCAATTTTGCAGTTTGTGTCTCCCATATAACATCATCGCATGTCGAATGCTCATAACCAATTGAAATTCTTGCTATTGCTGCACCATAAACTTTTTGCTTGTAAACATTACGTTTATTCCATGCGAATGTATGCTCAATATTTGGATCAGCTTCATATGTTTTGACATGCAATGAACCCTCAATTTCAACTCCGACGTGAACATGTGTAAGAGTTTTTGGGATTTCTGGACCAGTTAATTGCATGCGAACGATTGAAAGGTAGCCAGACATTTTTGACGATTGATATGACAGGTAGACACTTGAGCCGGGAATTTGGATGGACTCTTGAAGGATCTGTTAAAGAAAATTGAAAAAAAAAATTAATTTGATTCCATAAAAAAATCTGACAAAACCTTCGCAATATCATTTCCTCCTTGCAATTTCACAGCAAAAAAAATCAACAACTATACATCCACCTAGTAATTCAGTCAAACTAAAATCCTCTTTTAAAAGATCAATAATTTGATGAACGGCAGCTCTAGACAGACATAATCCCTTGCTGCATCATACAAATGCAGTTTATCGTTGAAAATAAAAATTGATTTGTCATTTTAATCCATTTTGAGTAGCACGAAAGCACTTTCAAGTGAATTGAATGGAACAAAAAAAAATGGAAATTATGAACGAGACATGAATTCATGAACGAATGAATATTTATTAGTTTGCTTGCGGATTTCTATGACAATTTACATTCAGTTTAACAACAATAGGTGGGGATAATTGAGTGAATGAAATGTGTTTAATGAATTTATTGGATATTATTGCATCAAAATGGGATGATTTATATATTTAAATGGAATGGATTAGGGGGAAGTTCGGATGTAGGGAGTTTGTTTGAGCTTTTGTTGGTTTAAGCATATTTAATATTAGTAAAAAGCTAGTAAAAGCTAGTAAAAACTATAGCTTCGATCAAACGAGTCTAGTTCAAATATAGCTTAGTATTAACTAGGTTTTAGTTCAGAATATGCAACAACATTGAAGATTAAGCAAAAAAAGTGTCTATATCCTCACAATGAACATTTAGTTCCAATAATAGTGGTCACTGAACTTCTGTACCTCCCTTAATCATCTCCATTCAATTATTCCATAATTAAACTGCATTTAAATCCCCAACAATATACAAAATTATGTAACAACTCTAAGAATGACAAAATATGCAAATCAATTGAACGGCAACAATAGATTGTCTGATTGAAAATGAGTTATAATATGCAATCAAAAAAGGATTTAGCTTTCGTATTTTGCATACCAAATGAATTTATTTAAACAAATTTGCTGGTAAAATTGCATCAATGATATGTTATTGTCATCAATAGGATTAAATGCTCATGAGCACATAAAAAAACAACAAACAGCTTACCTGATTTTCAGCAAATATAGCTGAACGTCCAGCCATAGAACCGATAGCATTTGGCATCCACGTACTCGTCAATAATGGCCGTAATAATTCATGATTATGATCAGGACAAATGACAGTAGTGTCATTTGAATTAGAATCAAAACGATATTGTAAGGAATTAAGGAAGCTGTAAGCAATGTTTGGCTTAACTTTTGGCATCTTTGACTCTGCCTCATCAACAAGCTTCATTTGGACAGGTGGCAGAACATTGATTTGATTCCATGGAACAAACACGGTACGTGTTAAAGGTCGGAATGGTGCGCGTTGAAATTGTAATGTGATTGCGCCACCTCCGTTAACCAAAATGTCAAACCTGTTGGAAATGGGAAGAATGAATAAAATTTAATTAAATTTTCGTGTCTGTGCTTGATTGTCTGTGCCTGCTTGCTGATCAAAAAAAAAGAATGGACTTTTTTCCCTTCCATTATTCACGGTAATGCACCGCAATTTTCATCTCGTCCAATTGTCAAAACCGTTAATCTCATCAGAATTGAAAAGAACGTTTTTGTTTGGCTTCTTATTCATTAAACCCTTCCGCGTCATCACACTTATGTTTTTTCATGGGATTATTTTTCCTGGGGTGGAAAACGTGGTGAGGAAATTTTTGAGATGGGGTTTTGATTTTGTCAGTCTGTCTTTGGAGAACTGTTTAAGGATGTGATGAAGTTCTACAAAGGAGTTCTTACATTAGACCTATTCATATGCCATTAAGTGCATATAAGTAAAATGCATCTTATGATTTCTAAATAATGCAACCCTATTTAATTCGTACAAAAAATCACAAATCTTCAAGATTTTTTTTTTATCTTTTTTCAAACTAAATCGAACGGAACAGAAACAAAAGAACCCAGAAAAAGCAAACAAAAAGGTGACATTGATTCAATTTAAATTAAATATTAAGACAATCACACGTACTTCCAATCCCTTCTCTTAAATTAAACTTAGGTCCATGCTGTGTTTAAATAAAATTTATTTTGTTTTTTTTTTGTTGCTCACTCATTTACATTATAAGGAAATGAATGAAATGGATTGTGAGGCTAAACACAAGTAAAAGTTTGTGGAAATGGAAATGAAAGGGTCTCTCGAGGCGGTTCAATCACGTTTTCTTGATTATATCTATAGTCGAACTCCTTTTCATTTGCGTGGGTTCGTGAATTTTCTATATGTAGAATTCTTGAAGTGCCTCGAGGCTGTAAATTGTATGCTTCAAGAGTTTGAATACGGAAAGATGGAATTGTATTTATGGATGAAATATTGAGCTAAAGATTTATCGATGCACGATTTATTTCAATCAACAGATTTCATTTCCTTTTTTATCCTTTATTAAGGAAATTTTTCCTATTTTTCTCGTTTTTAAGATTTTTTTATTGTGTCGCTATTTTTGAATCATGATTTTAAATTTAAGAACTTTTTGTCAGTTAAGTGGAATGTTTTCTGTGACTGAAAGTATTTAAAGTCGGAAGATTCCTTTAATGATCCTACAATTGATGCTCTTACGTGCCTTATTAATATCAAATCTTCAATTTACACATTACTAAGTATTATTACTGATTAGATAAACTCTGAATTTACTAGAATTTAATAAAACTTTATCTCTTATCTACGTTTAGTTTGAAAATAAACAAAATTGCATTATTTCATGAATTTAAATCCTTTTTCCATGCTGTCAATTGAATGTTGTTCTCAATTATAATTTTCATCATAATTTTATTTTTATTCTTATTGTTTATCTAAATTTGAAGAAATTCTAGGAAATTTTACATCAAAACCACTTCCTAGATCCCACAATAAGCTCAAAAATACAATTCTCAATATCTCTAATACTAGTTTTATGTTGTCATAATAAATGGCATTTTAAATCGAATCTCTTTTTTCCAATTTAAAAAGAAATTCTAAAGTAAAGGAGCAGAAAAAAGGGAAATCACATTCAAAGCTGTTCATTTATCCTCATTCAATGCTACCTTAACGTGCGAACATTTTTACAATTTTTATTTTTTGTGTGTGTGGTAATGTGGCATGTAGTATAATGATTATGTATATTTTTTTCGTTGTATTTCGATTGTAACGCTTTTGGGGGTTTTCTTCTACTTCTTTGTTTAAATTATAGATGATTATTGTAAGCTTTACATATCTACTGAATTGTTTTACCTTTTTATTCTATTTTATTTTTTATATTGAGTTTCTGTGTGTTTGGAGGAATTGTCATATGGAAGAAAAGTTTTCCTTAATTTTTACTTTTTTAGGGGATTTATGATTGTGGAATGTTAACCTTAATTTTTGAACTAACTCATGCCAAAGGGCTTAATTGAAAAAAACATTTAAGTGAATTTTTTAAATTTTTAAAATTTATGTTTTTATGAATATTTTTTTAATTTTTTAAATAAAATTCCTCAACAAAAAAAAACACTAAACCACCCCAACCCCAAAACTTCATTACAAATCGACAAACACAATTCCATTTCAAATGTGATTTATTTCTACAATTATGAATTCAAAAATTTTAATTTTTTAATACTATTTAAAAAAAACCGTATCGCTAATAAATGAGGGGAACGCACGACACACCGGAGACAGAAATTTCTATTGTGCGGGGGTGTTTCAAGAGAAGTTCTTACTTAGTAATTTACATGTGTGAGGTTATATCGGCGCTACATAATAAAATTTATTTGGTGCACACACGCAAAACTTTTTTTCGAAGAAAATTAGAATATGAAGGAAGAAGTTGAAGGGTTCTAGGAGGTGAAGCTGACTAATTTCAACTTTTCAAAATTTAAAGAGCGTTTAAGAATTAAATAAAGTTTCTTAAAGTGTCATAACCTAGAATATTTCTTCCAACAAAAGGAAATGAAATGAAATTGAGAAAATTATTTTCATCATGTCTGCGTAAATCGCTTTTAGCCATGATTACATAACATATTACATTATATTACACACTGTGTATGTGCGTAAATGTGAAACACAATTTTTTTGTGGTTGTAAATACGAAATATTCAGAATAAACTTTTATGATAGGTAATAAAGCATTATTGTTGAAAGCTAATATTAGGCAAGGATTAAGTTTAATAAATTACATTTTTTGGCTGATTGTGGAATAAAAATTATCAAATGTAGAGCAAGGTTGAGGATTTAAGTTGAAATTGGGTGAACTTAAAGAGATTTCTTGTAGATTTGGAGATTCTGATTTTGAATGATTTTCAAGTTCAAAAACATTTCTATAAATTTATAATAAATTATTCAAATTAATTGAAAATTTGAAATTTCACATTCCATAATAATCCTCAAAACCACCCACAAATTCCCACATCCGACATTAAAAATTCAATGTTATTTCAAAAAATATTTCCAATTCCAATTTTTAATTAATACATTTTAATTAATCATCCAAAAGGATAATAAATTTTTTCACGAGAAAAATACATTTTCAATTAAAATATTTTTCAATAAATTAGAAAATTTATCAATTTTACAAAACCCACAATTAATTTACGCGTCAATAATATCAAATTACTGCATGAATTTCTTTTTTCTGAATTGATTATCATTCAATTAATAAATTTTCCTGATGCTAGGGAATTGTGAAAATTTATTCAATTAATTATAAAAAATGTGTATGTACTGAGCAGCTTACTGCTGGAAGCTGATTATGATTCTAATGTTTTTGATATCAACTAAAATTAATTGAAATTAATGAAAAGTTTCAGTATGCAATTTGAGTTGAAATCAATGCCAAATTATTTGATGAACTTTGCTTACGCTATCTTGACCCTTTATAATGCTAAAATCTTAAGATTCACATACCATAGAACTCTTCCCAACCCCCCACACTTAACAGTCTAATTTAATTCATATATTCCACTTTAAAAATTCAATATCACATGTAATGTGTTTCTCTACAGAAAATAATCATTTCCAAATTTCGCAGAAATACCAAAATTTCAATTTTAAATTAGCCAAATTTTCAAGAAAATGAAAATTATGAAAATATATGAAAATTTTTCAAATGAATTGCAAAATGCCAATTTAAATAATTATCATTCGCCTTAAATATTACTTTTTGACTTCTTCATGTTGGTATGGCAATTTTGGAAGCGTCTAGAAACTTCTGCATTATTTTCCATAGAAACAAAAATTATTTTTATTGAATGATGAATTGATGAAGGTTATATAATAAAGTTGACGAGAGCTTACATAATCGAAGTGAGATTTATTGTGAAAAATAAGAAGTTAGGTTGATTTTGCCAAAATATGGAAGTTGGCTTTATTTTTGAAATTCTAGCTTGACATTTAAGAGCCTAGAAAGTGTTTTGCAAACCTAGATCGACTTCTAAGAGTCTAGCTCGACTTTCCAAAGCATCGCTTGAATTTCGCAAATCAAGCACGATTTTTGAGAGTCTAGTTTGCCTTTCTAGAGCCTTGATGACTTTCGAGAGCTTAGCTCGGCTTTTAAGAGACTCGTTCGATTTTTGCGAACCAAGCACAACTTTCGAGAGCTTAGTTTGCCATTCTAGAACCTTGATGACTTTCTGGAGCATAGCTCGACCTTTGAGAGCCTTGATGACTTTCTAGAGCCTAGCTCGACTTTTGAGAGCATAGCTAAATCTTCTAGAGCCAAGTCTGACTTAAATGCAACAAAATTTGGATTACATTCTAAAATATTCAACCAAAAATCATCTCAAGGGTCAGAACCACTCAATGCAAAACTCAATAAAATGTATTCATAAAAATGTTCCTTTAAAAATGATTTTCATCTCGTGCCATTGTGATTGGAATATTTTCCTATCAAATTAAGTGCTTATAGCATTTATTGATTCCACCAATATCTATCTATCGACTTCGACTTCCTCCAATATAAAAATATACACATTTCCATTTATGTACCTTACCAATTCTAGTCGAAAAAAATAGACAGAGTAGAAATAAAATAAAAAATTGGAAAACCGTAATATTCTTTACGTAATAAGACGATTTGCGAAGGAAGAGAAAAGTGGATTTTTTTCTTTTATTTATTTTATTTCCTTTTTTTGTGTGCCACTTCTAGTCTACATAGACTCTATTTTATTCGCAAACAGAAGCATTCTGTCTCTATTTGCATTATAAAGGTAGAAAAAAAAATTATTTTATTTTGTTGATATCGAAAAATTTGAATTGTAAATTTTTTCTCTTTACTGCGACTTTGTTCAGCTATTATTGATGGTACCGGTACTCATGGCACTATGGAGAAAGAAAAATTTTCCTCTTTCTAGAGAATTTTTATTTGCCTTAGCTTTTATTGAATTTGATGAATACAAACGTGCAGTTATTGAATTTCATATATTACTAATGTGAATAGGTCCATAAAAATATGTATTGATAGAAATTTGTATCGATAAATGGAAAGAAGCTTCTGTTGCTTGGTGAGATTTTATTAAAAAATATATTTTTTTATTTGTAGGGTTTCTCATGTAGAAACTGTAATAGCTTTGAGGAGAACTGAAAAATAGAGTTCCTTAGCTTGACTAGAACTCAAGCTTATATAAAGCATTGATGGAATCATTTCTCATTTCTGATCCAGCAGTACATTCGGATTTAATAATCATTAGTTCTTTAAAAATCATTTTTCTAGCTTTTTAGATTCTCAAATTATTCATCTTATTGTCAATCATATTACATTCCAAAATGTAAAGACTTCCTGCTTGATAAACATCTCTTATTTTACTTTGACTTATCAAAAGAAAAGCTAGTGCAGCTGGCTCTTTATCGTCTTATCAGTCTTCAAAAAAAAAAAACTCTTTGAATCATTTTTTTGAAGAAAATATGAAAATATAAAGAAGTTTCTTTTACATCCTTTTATCTCCTCAATCTATGAGTATTTTCTCATGTTTGTCTATGAGAATGAAAGACACTTGTAGTATAATCGCATCTCAAACGATATGATGGAATATATTTTCATGAGAAAGTAGGTTGATTCGTTTCCCGGATTTAATGAAGCACAAGCTCTTCAACATGAATGATGAAAAAAATGGAGAAAATTTACAATTTCTCCTTGAGCTTTTCCGTTTGAAAACTTGTCAACATGGAAGAATAGGGATGAGATGAAAAAGAATATTTTTGCCTCATTTCCAATACAGAATGAGAAACATGGAGATAAGTGTGAGAATACTAGTCGTGCAGATTGGTAGGAATGATGGAATTTTAGAAATTTGAAACATTTGAATAGATTTAAACCACCAAACAGTAACTCAGTTAGTTATATCAATGGTCAAAAAGTCAGTCCCGCATCCATGGTAACGTCTGGACCAGACTGAGACGCTCTTAAAAATTCTGAAAATTGCTGATTGGTCAAAATAATGCTTTGGAGAGTTTCTGAGCTTTGCCGTTGATAGTTAAGACTGCAGATAGCTCTTCTCTGACTACGATAGATCTTTATTTACACCCAGCCAAACAAACATCCTACAAAAAATTATATTATCCCCTCCACAAACACAAAATCGTGATTCGCTCTATAATTTATAAATACAGAGCCATCGTATGCACAAGTGCCACTCTTTATTTTGTACTTGAATAAAATGATAATATAAGAGCTATAGCTTCCAGCCTGCAACGTCCTCATTAAATGATGAGAAGTGCACTTGTAAACAGCAAAAGAATTATAAACATTTTTTTAAACGCATTTTAGCGATGAAATGGAGCAAGAAAATTTTAATGACTTTCAACAGCAAGCGCACAGGAATAAATAAATGTCACAATTACTCACCATCCACCAGCTCTAGTTAGTGTAAAACCAAATCGTGCATCCTTATCGACTGACACTCTTATACCGATGATACCGAGTCCTTGTGGTGTCACAACTTGTCCTCTTATCACTGACACGCGACTGTAATGTAAAGAGAAAATTATTTGTAGAGAAATTGTGGATAAATTTGACGTAAAACTACAGATAAATGTGATGCTCAAAACTGCGACCAAAACTGTCTGTTGACATCAAACTTGGTCGACAGAAAGTTAAGGTCTAACTTAATAATAACAAGTAATAATAATAGCATCGATAGCAAGAGAGAAGTTTTCATTAAATAAAATTTTGAATTTCTTATTGCTTGATACTTAATATTAAATAATTAAATATATATATTTATTTTCTTTCATTCTTATTATATTTTTTTTTTGTACAATAGATACACAATTTTAAAAAGGAAATAAAAGAGAAACATTGAAAATTGAAATGAAATGAAATAAATTTTTATCAAGTTATATATTTTTTTTGTGTACTGAAAATAATGAGTTTGTTACTTAACAATAAGGAAAGATAAGAAAATTGTATGCAATGAGTACAAAAATAAATAAGCAACAAACTGAAAAGTTTTTAAAAAATGTGAATGCATTTTCAAGAGTAACTATGGATGCAATTCTAATGGACATGAAATGAGTTTGCTGTTGAAAAATGATAAGAAAAAATTGTATAAAAAGCCATTCATTTTTGGAAGTGAAGTTATTGATGCAAATAAAATTATGTGAAATAAATTATTATTTTTTTGCAAACAGAAATCAAAGTTTTTTTTCTATTGATTTATTTTTTTTTTTAAATTTGAGTTTTTAATATTTTTTTACTTAAAAAAGACTAATTGAAAAATACTTTTAAATTAAATATTGCGTAACTGATGACATGATCATAAATGATCAAAAAATGAGCAAAAATGATCAAAAAATGACCAAAAATTATCAAATTGATGAAAATATGACCAAAAATGATCAACAATGATCAAAATGTAATTCATCAGTTCCGTACCCTGGATTAAAATAAATAATTTAAAAAATCACTTCTAAACAACTTCAAAAAAACTAAAACTATTTCAACTTCTACCCAAAGTCCTTATTATACATCAAATTGTTCTATTTTATGAATCTATGTCACTGCATTCGCATTAAAAATGCCAGAAAGTTTCATAAAGCCATTTAATAAAGACTTTTTGGTTGGCACGAAAAATCCTTACATTTTTTTGCATGAACTCGATGTGAATGTTTAACAATTCAATAGAAATAAAAAGACTTATAAATTTCAAATTAAGTTGTGAATTTATAGTAAAGTAAAATGTTTAAAATGAATGTTAAATTCTAGAAAGTGAAATAAAAACTTTTTGGTGCATTTTATATTGATGTAAATTATCATGCAAGTATTACAACTGTGAAGGAGTTTATAGGATCAATATCCAAGTTTAAGAAGCTCAACATTTCCTTTTTCCCACAAACAGATCATCTTTGAGCTTAAAAGCTCCACTCCCTTCTGCAGCTATGATATTAAGATTCATAAGTAATAATAAGTCATTATGACCCATAATTTATGAGAGAATATGCTGTGATCCTTTAAACTTAACTTTAACCATTTTATATTATTTTAAAGTTAAATCAATTGATACTTGAAGATATAAAAGCTACAAAATGTTCATATTATAAAAAGGTCTCCCATTCATGTTACAAAACAGAGTAAAAATTGCCCTTTGATGAAACATCAAAAATTGATTACAAAAAGACTTTTTTCCATTCCTCCCCCGACCATCTTCATTTCCAAAAAAAAAAAATAACTGGCAGCTAACAAAAAGCAGCTTCTGTTATGTGCTTTGAGCATGAAAACTCTAACATTGTTGAAAAAAGGAAAAATCAGTCGCGTTTGATGTGAAATTTGAGAATCAAAGTAGAAAAATATGACTGATGAATGCAATGCAGTACCCCATCATTCAGACATGCAGTCGATGGTTCAGGTTCATATTTTTTTTTTTTTTTTTACTTTTCATTCTATGTGAGAATGATTTTCCGATTTTACGCTCCAAAAAATTCATCAATTATAAAATATCATGCGCTCTATATATTCCCACAACTGTTGTTTTTCCAATTTCTGCTCCCCTTTTATTATGTTTTTTTGTTCAGCAGAAGAAAAAAAATCATGTATTTTTAAAGGCTCACATAAATGATGCGAATGTGATCGGGTATATAAGAGTTTATTGATTGAAAATTGAAAACATACAATGTATAATTTATCAACAAAAGGCAGAAGGCATTTATTCATTTTATATGAGGAGATAACTTGATGCTGTTTATGATGAAGTCAGGATGGAAATTCTTTTTGGGGGGAATTTTTGATGATTTTTTTAGGAAGCCAAAGGGGGCTGCTTTGGATTGAGACAGATTTGAGCTTTGATTTTTAAATTAATTATTGATAGTTGTGAGGAAAAGTTCGTTTGGAATAGAGGAGGCATGGTTGTAACTTCTTAATAGAAGACTTCATGTATCTTATGATGTTCCATTGAAAAAATAAATTTATCTTGCATTAAAGCAATATTGAAATCCCTAGCTACCCTTATGCATAGCTATACCCCTTCCAACTCCTTACTCCTACTTCAAATCTATTCCAGAAACCATATACAAAATAAATCTCATATAAAATACAAATTTACTTTTCATAACAATCAACATATTTTTTTATTTGCGATTTTTTACGGCATTTCGATTAAGTATTGATTAAAATGAAAATTTTATATGCCATTTTGTCATGGAAATGCTATTAAAATCATAAAAATTTTGTATTGAATTTTTTTACATCGATAACAAGCTTGACGTTCTTAGAAATAGGTAACGATGGTAGTAATATGTATTCCTGATTGTGCTGTGAAGCGGAATATGTTGAGTGGGATAAAGTTTATAAGATGAACTTTAAAATTAAATATATTAAATGTCAAATAATCTTTTAAGGCTTCAATTAAGGTTTTCATGATTTTAAAAATCGTTCATTACTTCATTAATTTGAATGGCAAATGAGTAAATTTTGTAAAAAAAAATTCACAGAGTCCCTCCCACCCCTTTTGCTTCTTAAAAACATTTCCAAAAATTAATTAAAATCAAAATTTACAAAAATCATCCAAAAATCTCAAAAACTTTTAGCCAGCAGCATTCCATCTTCAATTTCAATATTGTAAACTTCAAAGCTCAACGAAAATAAAAAATTTTCCTTGACATATCAGAGTTAAAAAAAGTCAACAAAATTTTCTCATTTTCCAAATTTCAAACAAAAATATTTTGCTTAATCATTTCACAATATTTTTTCTTCTTCATGACTTCGTCTTTTTTTTACTTGTTCTTGGATAATTCAAGCTTGAAACGATTTTCTACTTATTTCCTGTTTGAAGGGTGGGTAAAGAATGAAATGGAAAATGAGAGCAAAAATTTTTTTTTGTCTTCATTTTAACAAATTGAAAGCTCCATCGTCGTCATTGTCGTTTGCTTAAAAGAAGCTTTTATTGAAATGAGAAGGAATGGAACAAGAAAAGGCGAAGAGAAATGAATGTTAAGACATGCTTTAGTTTTTTTGGATAGACAGATGTTCATAAGCTTGATGTTATTGAAGTATAACCTCAAATGTTGAAACATTATTGGCTAATTGATTGCTGCCATTTAATAGCTTCAGAATGTGGAACAATTATTTAAAAATTTAATTGAAAACAAAAGTTTTACAAGAAAAACTTTTTGAGATGAGCACTATCCGCCATTTTGAATTATTTTTGACTTCATTGCTCGACTCAAAAGCAAAAGTTTCCAAACATCTGCAGTTATCATTTTTTCAACAAATCTTCATTTTAATCCTTAGTTTTCCTTATATTATTTTCATGAATCATGATCCAGTTTAAACATTATTTTTTTGTCTTTCGACATTCAAAAGAGAAATACCAAAAGAAATGCCAAATATTAAGCTAAAAATTCATTATTTGCATTTTTCAGTTTTCTCCAATTTTCTTTGCAGAATTTTCCTTTTTTTTGTCTCTTCCCAAACAAATATTTAATTTTTTTCCTTTCATTCTCTTTTTCATATTCAATTTTGCCTGAGATGTATCTGTCGAGCATTTCGTCTGGTCCGATAGCATCTCTGTTTGGTTAGATAGAAAAAAGAAGGCACTGTGAAGCATAAAACATCAATAGAATGATAAAACATATTTTCCGGACATTACTTTTTTAGCATAAAATATCGCTTTGGAATTGGTAATAAAATAGACGATAAAAAACCATTTCTGCTATTTTTTTCAGGAATGAAGAGAAGAAAAAAATTCACATTAAATATTTTTTCATTTCTCTTTCAATTCTGTGTATCTTTTTTTTGTCGTCCTCATATTATATCAAGTGCAGAAAACAAGGCAAACACAATGATCGAAACATTTTTAATAGCTGAATTTTCTTTTTTGGTGAGTATATAGGGTTATGATGATCACATTGGTAAAATTTTAATGAAAATGAATAATGTTGTTTTAAAATTAAGGTTTTTCTAGGTCTTGCCACTTTTTTACGTAAATTAAGCTTCATTTTAAATTGTAAGCTTCAATCTAAGTCAAGTTATTAACAAAACAAAAGTTGAAGTGGAAAAAAAGTCTGCCATTTTAATTTTTCAAATTTAAAAAAAAACTTGAAAAAAACCGGTAATACTTTATGAAATAAAATGTGCGTTCCAAACCATATTTTATCCCACAAATGTCCTTAACTTCCCTCCAGAACACTTATTCCCAGTATATATTCATTCATTGTTTTTATTGTGTGCAGTTATTTGCTATTTATCTATCGCAGTTGTTGTTTTCCTTTCTCTCTCTTCACAAAAAAAAATTCGGGTTGGTTTTGTTTGTTTGTTTTTCATTTTCCAACTGAAATACAATTTTTCCGGTATTTTTATCGGATATTTGTGGAAGGAAATTCATGTGGATGCATTTTTATTTTTTTCTGTGAGCTCTCTTCCTTTCATTTCTTTATACAGGAAGAAGGAAGAAGATTAGAAAATATTTTTGAATTAAAAAGGAGATTGAAGATAATTGAATGTGAAATTCCTTCTTCAGTTTTGTAATGGCT